CCGGGGGGGGGGAGCCGGCGCTGCTGGAGGGCGTGCTGCTGGGAGAACCCGTGAGTTGGCCCCATTAACCTCATCCCCCCCATTAACCTCATTCCCTGTCCCGTCTCCTTGCCTTTTTTGGGGTGAGCCAGCCCTGTGGTCTCCCCCCTCCCCTAACACTGCTCTCCCCCCCAGCAGGGCTCCAAGGGTGACCGAGGCTTGACTGGCCCCAAGGGTGAGAAGGTGAGCGCTGCTTCAGGGGCCGCAGGGGCCCTGGGCTGCTCCCCCCATCCCCGTGTATCATCATGTGCCCCTGCTTTTTGCTTGTTTCCCCCTGCCAGGGGGAGCCAGGAGGATTCGGGGAGCCAGGAGATCCTGGGGAAGACGTGAGTAGGAGGCACATGGGGGGCCAAGGGGTGGATGCTGGGGGCAGCAGATGCTGTCAGGGGGAACCTTTGCCTCTGCCATCCACCACCCAGCCCTTCCTGGTGGCTTGCTGTCTTCGCAGGGAGCCAAGGGGTCCTCTGGAGCCAAGGGGGAGAAGGTAAGTGTCCCCTGGGCTCAGGGGGACTCCCCAGCCCTGGGGGGCTGCCCAAGGTGGCGTGGTGCTCCCAGCACCCCTGTGCCCACCAGCCGGAGCACATACTGCATGCTCTGCCACTGTGCAGGGATCGCCAGGTGTCGGTGTGCGGGGACCACCAGGACAGGACGGGCCTCCAGGCTTGAAGGTAACCCCTGTCCCCATGTCACCCTGGCTCTCGACACATCCCGAGTGCTGCGCCAGCATGGCCAGCTGAGGGAGAAGCATGCTCCTGGGGACTGTTTCCCTGGGCCTCATCTTTTTCCTCCCTGCTCCAGGGTGACATCGGATTGCCAGGACCACCAGGGCCTCCAGGCTTAGCGGGCATTGCTGGGACACCAGGACAGCCCGGCCTGAGAGGGGACAATGGGCAGCCTGGCCCTCCAGGTGCCCCGGGAGAGAGGGTAAAAGCTATGGCCAGTGCTTACCTTTGCCGGTCTGGGTGACCCTGGACCCTTGGGCAGTACCAGTGGGGTCCCTGCAAGCCCCACTGACTCCTGGGTGTGATCTCTGCCTGCTCACTGGTATTTCCCTGCCAGGGTTTGATTGGCTTTCCCGGGAGAGATGGCACCTCTGGACCACCAGGACCCGCGGGGCCACCGGGGCCGGCCGTGAGTATGGGGCTCCGGTGCCGCAGCATCCCTGGAGGGTGCAGGCTCTGCCCTGGTCCCCCAGTGGCGTGGGCAGGGTGATGGGGACCCACCCTGCACCTTCCTGGCCCTTATCTCTGGGGCTGGGGGTTGGTGGGGGTAGTGGCACGGGGTGGGAAGCCACTGTGGGAGCCCCAGGGATGCTCTGTGGGGTGCCTGGTATCACCTTTCTCCTGCAGCTCACTCACCCCTCTCCTTACTTTTAGGGCATACAAGGGGCCTCTGGCCTGAAGGGTGACAAGGTAGGACTGGGGCAGCCTTGTAGCATGAGGGGTCTGGGGCTGCTCCTCATCGGAGTGTCCCTGCTGCAGCCACCCACTGTGGGACACTGAGCCCACTCTGGATGGTGGCACATGGGAGCCTGCTCTGTGCTGGGCACCCGGGGAGGTGGTGGAGACTGTGGGCTGTCCCCTGGCATGGAGGGGGACATGG